CTCCTCTGCACCCTGCCTCCTCCTTCTTCCCATCCACATCGCTGATCACCGATATATCCACATCCTTTGGACTTGATGATGGTTCACTTTCGCCCACAGCTCCTGACATATCCCCAGCGGTATCCACGGGCACACCATCTGCTGCCATATCCTTGGAACAACTTTCACTTTCACCAACATTCTCCGAGACAGCCGGATTTTCTACAACTGCCTCCACAGCACAAAGGGAATTCCTTTTCGCTTGCTCTCCCAAATCTTCCTTGATTTGATTTCGGAAATCCTGAAATAGGCTACCGAAATTCTCTTTAATCTGGCCTAGAGCGTGATCTTTATTCAGATCAACGGAAATTTCTTTGATTTGATCTCCAGATTTTTCTTCTTTAGTTTGACCTCCTTTGTCTTCTTTAGTTTCAACGTTTGAGTTTTCTCTCGTTTGGTCTGTCGAGTCTTTACTTTTGTTATCGAAATCCTCGTTCTTTTCGTCATTTAAAACTTTGCTTCCGTCATCGAAATATTCTTTATTTAGGTCAACTCCATCTTTACGCAGATCATCGAAATCTTTAATTTTCTCTCCTGCCTCTGAGGTCTGCGCTGCCAGGTCTCCGGAGCCAGAGTTCTCCCCCTTGGAGTCCATCTCCCCACTGACGTCTGCTTTCTCGACCGCTTTCTCGTCTGCTTTCTCATCATTCTTTACTTTTGTCTCATTGGCGGGAGACTCGGACTTTTTGCTGGCGTCTGCGCAGTTGTTGGCACGCGACGAGACCACGTCTGGCGTCTGGCGGTTCTCTTTATTGCTATCGTCTGCTTTACCGGCAGCGCCACCGCCACCACCGCCGCCATTTTGTGCATTGTTCCCAGAAGAAGCTCCGTGCTTCCGTCCTCTGGAGTCTTTGGGACTGGCGCTGCACGCCTGTTTGTTGTTGTCGTTTTCCGTGGCGTTCTTATCTTGTTGTTGTTGTTGCTGCTGCTGCTGCTGTTTCTTCTTTTTCTTCTTGTTCTTCTTTTTCTTCTCCACCACCTCCTCCACGACCACCTTCTCGTCCAGGTCGACCTCCGCGCGAAGGTGAAGGCCGTTCTCCGCCGTCTGCTCTGGATCAGACATGGCGGACGGAAGTGACTCAGTTACCAAACTTGTCTGGATTCACTTCTGGAAATACTATAATCCAAATCTTTTTGGTTCCCTCCAATTTCTTTTCTTTTTCAATTCAAATCAAATAACACAAAAACACAGACAAGATATGATCCGATAGCTATACGAAGGTCATTTTATCTGAACAGCCCACAGAGCCGATGCGAGAGGACAGTGAGACGGTGAAACCTCTAAACGTCCGTCAACGAGATGCCAGAATAATGCGAGGAGCGTGGTCATCCTCGGAGAAGTGTGCCAGTTATACTCCAAGCTCAAGTCATCACGCTCGATCTTGTAGACGTGGGAATTCTCGGGAGACTTGAACAAACGAATCTGCAAACAGACGGAAACAATTGAAATATCTGGTTATTGGTTTTTGATGATGATGATGACGACGACGACAACAACAGCAACAACGAAAAAAGGGAAAAGGAGCAACAGCGGGGTGGGCGGTGGGGTTGGGGGGGGGGAGGTGTGCCACCGATGATGATGAGGACGGGGACGAATACGACAACATCTCCAAGAACAACTACCACAACAACGACGACGAGGGCGACGACGACTCAATACATGACCTCTCTCGCCCGGCCCCTGACGTGCAGGTGCTACCATTTGCCCAGGACACAGCCCAGGTAAGGATCCGCGGCCCCAGCACACACAGACAGGGCCCGGGGACAATTTACATGATAAACAAACAGATCAACTACAGGCCCTTCATCCTGGAGCTCATGAGGATTTTTTTCTCTCTATCTATCTCTATCTTTCTTTTTCTTTCTTTATCTCTCTTTTCCTTTCTCTCTCTCACTCTCTCTCTCTCTCTCTCT